AACAGCGCTACACAGATCCATGGATAGAAAATAATGCAATATTATGCAAGCATAAAGAACTCAGGTACATTAGCATGAGTGATGGTAGGTTCATATAAATATAAAGTTAAAATCAACTTAAACTGCTGTAAGTGTTACACTTATTCTCAATTAGAGCAATCCAGAATAAGGTATCTTTCCTTTTCAAAGTATATAACACCGCATTTATTCTCCTACTTAAATATTCATATATAGATCATGAAACATTAAAACTCTACATCTCTTTATTTTACAAAAAAATCAACAACAGTCTGTTTGTAACACCAAATTGGCAAATTGTAACCACATCATAAATGTGGTAGTTGAAAAATGTAGTTACTAGAAAAAAGAAAAAAATTAAAAGAATTAAAAAAAGAAAAAAAGGTGAGACTAATGTCATTTTTCTTGAAAAGTAATGAAATGGTATAGAAATATGACACACTACAATTTTAAAATCAATTAATTTAGAGTTAATTATAATTTTATATATACCACTTAACTAATGCATATGAAGACAATATGTGACAAACACCTTCAAAGAGGCCTCACTTAAGGGGGTTAATTTTTTTGGGATAATTTTTTTCAACAGTAGTGAAATGATAAAGAAATAGGACACGGTGAGATTAGTATCATTGTTTTGTGATCATCAGTATAAGAAAATCCCAACCACAACACAAAAACAAGTTTTATTTAATTAAAATGTTTTCTAAAAACCAGCTACCCAAACTGGTACATTAAATGCTTTTTTTTTCTTTCTTTTTTATGCATACAACTCTTCTTATTCGTTAAGACGTTACATTCAAAGTCAATTACATTATACCAATTATCAACTAAGAGAGAGTAGCATATAAAGTATTTGACGGCCAAATTTACTGTTTCATTACATATCGTACAAGGCCAGGAAGGTGAATGTTGATGAAGTAATCTTCCCAGTCAATGCATTTGGGATCAAATCCAAACTCATCCACATTTAAACCCATCTCCATTGCTGCCACTCGCAATTTTTCTGAATTTTT